TATTTTAAATGGAGAAATGCTTTGTTTGTTTTAATCAGTCATTTATTTGACAATTTGTGTCCAAGGCAATTCAAAGTGCTTCACAAGAGAAAAACCTACAGTAGATCAAGATGCATGCACAAAAGTCAATGAAATATACAGAGCAGCATACAAGTATGGGGCCTAACATTTAATTAAAATGTGGGTATCAAAAGACAAATAAAAGCAATAAATATCTTTCGTAGTTTCACAGGGCTTCACCACAATGATTTGCTGTCTTAATATAAATGTTTTGGGTGCATTACACACATGATCTCTCTAGCTGCCTATTTGTTGTATTGCTGACTACTGGGGTTAAATGACACTATGGAAGCATCTGGGAAAAGGTAACGGAGGTTCGGGTTTGTCAGCCATTACTGCTCCTGACAGGTTGCTCTAGTATAAGAGTAGTAGTATACAGTAGCATGATGTTAGACAGGTTTTTCAGACTGCTACTGTATTTTGAAAGTTGCTGAAAAGTTTTTTTTCTGTTGAGAGTAATAGGGTCATAGGTGCAGTCATCAAAAGTTGCTTGCGGTTTCACTAAAAGCATATTAAATAAAAGCTAGGTGAACACTTTTTTTTAGCTTGCTTCTTGCAGCTGATGCCATCAAGCTGATCTTTTTATCAATTCCTGCTGTTGCTAGATTTTGCCTCTCCTTGAGACCAATTAGACATAGTTTATGGAATCCAGAGTTCCTCCCTCTAAGGCTTTTATTACGCACTAACACACACACAAGCGCTAAGAGGCCTCTGAGCGCCTCTGTATCCAGTTAGCCAATGGGCCGGGATGGTACCTCCACAGCCCTCTGGAGTCACATAGAAGGAAATGACAAATAAGGAGTATGGAAGGATGGGGTGAATTTGGGGACAATCCACGCAGTAATGGGACAAAGGATGATAAATAATTGGCATACAAACACAGCAGAAGGACACACAAATTGTTTAAATAAATGGTTTGTTTTGGCTTGTTCATACTGCCTTTGGTGCAGGAATAAGGTAAGATTGTGTTGTATAATGTAACTGTATTTGGCAATATGCTTCTATAGGCAGCATGTGGAAGTAGAAAGAAAACTTCAGCTAACAACCTTAGTCTTGGTCTCAGGTCTCTGCGCTGGCTTCCTTTGGTGCAAATAATAGAGTTTAAGCAACGTTTAGCAGCTCTGTGTGTGTCTCTCCATGGCCACATCATGGAGACACACAGTCATAGGAACCAACTCGGACTATGAGGAGCACAGGGACTGGCCACCTACTCGGACTATGAGGAGCACAGGGACTGGCCTCTTGCAGGTGCCCAGAGTCCTGACTGCTCATGGGAAGGCAGCCTTTCAGATTTATGCAGATAAGCTCAAGATGGTCATCATGAAAATGTGAGTCAAGCTACAATCAAATCCAGGTTAAAACAGTGGTGTTTACTATAATTAGCATAGAACAGAACTATTTTTTTTCTGGACTCCACAGTTGTCATGCATTTAATCATGTTTTTTATATGCATCCTGCTCTGTTATTTGAAAGAGAGGTTTTGCTGTAAGTTCTATTCCACCTTGTGAGCAAGAATGAAAGCAGTGATAAAGAAAGCACTTCTTATAGAAAGTAGAAGGTAGATTAGTAAGGGATTCATTTTCATGAAAAAACAACATTATCAAATGGTTAAAAGTCAATCTGAAATAACATTGTTTTTAAAGAGAATTGCCTGAAGCAATCCTTGCGATAGATTTGTAGCATCTTTAGTCTGCTCCTGTTGCTCTTAATGGGGCGAAGTGTGATTGCATGTGAGTCACAGTCCCTCAGGGGAACATTCAGACAAGAACAGAGCATTTGGCAGAATGACAATAGTCCTCAAGTCTTGCGGTGGCAGTGGACAATAGGAAGACCTCTGGGGGCTGACATGAGTCCATATAAAAAGGCGTCAAAGTCAGCTTAATCTAAACATACATGTACACACAGCGGTTCCAAAAACGTCTACATTTCTTCTGTATCTATGTTTCATGTTTTGTTTAATCAATTTAAATACCTCATATCAATATTTTCTTTGCTAACCCCTAGAAATCAGCTTATACTGTTTGTGTTCTGTCTAAAATGGTAGCGTTAGGTAAAAATAATAAACTAACACCGAAAATCATGCTCCTTTCCAATCATGGAAATGTATCCTGCAAATGTATAATGTACGTATATTATATATGTTATGAAGCATTTTCATGAAAGGAACACATTAAGAAATTATATTAAATTACATATAAACACGAATAATGTGTCTATATGGGCATGGGCAACACCAAAGCAATGTGCTAATTATAATATTTGGATCATTATCAAAGAGTTTTACTACACAAAGACTGATTATATTTTTATAACTTAAGTTTATACATCTGTATAATTTACATGTCTTTATTCACCTCTTAAGAATAAAACAGCAGGGCTAACCAAGCTAAATCACTGTATCACTGATGATAAAACCATTTTGAACCATGTTTGAGATCTGTAGACCTTCTAGGCACCACATGGCTCACATGATAAAACAGCCTAAAAGCTTTAATTGTAATCCACTAATTAGTGCAGAGCCTCTGTGTGAAAACTCAGTGTTATTGAAGCGCTGAAAGAAAAGGACTTGTGCTCTGGTCTATTTTGGGAGTGTTAGAGAGTTTGTGTTTGTCAGTGGAACATTGCTGGGGGTCAGCCAATGTCTCCAACACTGTGGGTGTCTCTCAGAACTCCTCCACCTTCTCTTTTGTGACCTCGCAGCTTTCTATGAGCATTTATTATTCATATATCAAGTAGAACTAAGCTGGTATGTTAGATTTAAATATTGCCCTTGGACCTAATGTCATATCCCAGCTTGCTTTGTAATTAGAATTAACTGAAGATGCTTTCCTGAGTTGTCTATTTAAAAAACAAAAGTTCCTATGTTTAGAAGACGTCAGCTCATAATTTTTTCCAGTGATATTGCCAAAATGCTGCTGCAGGAAGTGTACGCATGTAAAACAGGGATTTTCGACATGTATTAGGTCAGTTATTTTATCATGATTATTTCTTTTGGCTTAATTGATGCATGCTGCAGAGACTATGTATCTGTGCATTACTTACTGACTGATATCAGCTTCTCCAAAATGTGTCTGTATTAATAGTGTTCATATAATGTAAACTTATTTTAAAATAGTCTGGACATACGGTAATGTAGCCACCCAAGCTGAAGATCCGCCACTCCCATTCCTCGCTTCAGTGCAACACATACGACATACCCCTCGTTGGTTGAATATCTGCATCATTGTTGATAGATAGATAGATATATACTTTATTGATCCCGAAGGAAATTGTGCACTGGTCCCTTGCTCGCAATCATACAAAGATACATACATAGGTTAGAATTAAAATATGCAAAATAGTTAAAAAAGAAACAATAATTACATTAAAATCATTAAAAGAGAAGTTAAGGCACTGAAAAACAATTCTCAAGACCCCCTTCCACCGCAGTCCCCCCGATAATAATGGGCTGCAGAGAGGGTGGTGCCTGGCAAAAGTCCAGCACCACCTCCTTTGTTTTGGCTGAGTTTAAAAGAAGCTTGTTCCGCTGGCTCCACTCCACAAAGTTCTCAACCAAGCCTCTATACTCCCCCTCAGCACCCCCCCTGACGCATGCAACGATTAGTGTCATCTGAGAACTTCTGCATGTGGCAAGTCTCAGAGTTGTAGCAGAAGTCAGCCGTCAGTCGTCAGAAGTCAGATACTGAAGCTCTATATACACAGAGCTTGTTAAATCGCAATATTTTTTCTAGCATCTGATGTTCTTGACTCTTAAACAATGAACGCAAAGCTTACTGAAAATAAGTCAATAGTAATGGTTCATATTTGTTTTAGAGCAGTACGACAACAAAAAGAACACCTGGTTAGAAAGAAGCGATTTACATATGTATCCCAAATGTTATGCATAGCCAAAGCAAGCACCTGACATCACATAAAAGTCACAAGGATCATAGCAAATGCATATAGACTAGAACAAGGCTCCTGAGGATGCCATATCTAAAATGTTAATTACAGCTAAAAGAGAAACGATTGTGAATATCAAACAGCAATTAGCATGCATCATCATCATCATTACTGCCATTAGCTGCCGCACAAGATGGAGGCGTATTTACCAAAAGCAGAAACGCTCATCAGTTGCTTATTCAAGGCCTGGAATGCCTTGTATACCATCTTAAATTACCCCAGAATTTGCATTTTTTTTTGCCGCTTTGCAACTCAGAGAATCCCAACACTGCAAGGTATTGCCCAGTTTGTTTGCACTGGTCTGATAAGTGGATAATCCATGTTAGGAGTTCTGTACTTGGGAGAAAATTTGGACTGAGTGTACTTGTAAATACATATACAGTGCACCGATCACCACGGGCACTACTGTCACCTTTACCCTCCAGCCCCTCTCCAGCTCCTCTCTGAGCCCTTGGTAAAGCTTTTTGTGTTCTTTTTTCCTGATGTTGCCATCGCTTGGAATTGCCACGTCCACCACCACGGCTTTCTTCTGCCCTTTGTTCTACCACCACGATGTCAGGTTGGTTCGCCATTACCATTCGGTCGGTCTGTATCTGGAAGTCCCACAGGATCTTCGCACGCTCATTCTCCACCACCTTAGGAGGAGTTTCCCACTTAGACCTTGGGGTTTCCTCTGCACAGATGTTTCTGTACACTATGTCACTTGTTTAGTTCCATATGCATTGGTCCAGGAATAAAAAAAACTTTTGACAGTTGCAATAGTTAGAATGTTGTGATGTCAAATGAAAACAACAAAAATAACAACAATATTCAACTTCCATGCAGCCCTTTTCTGACTAAACTCCACACTCACCACAGTAGCCTGTGCTGGCATGGTACATCTTGCCAAGGGGACTATGGTTGGAAACTATCAGTATAGCTAATACTGACTTAATTACAGTGTTGTTGATAAGAGAGTACCGTCCCTATTCAAAAAAACTCATGTGGGCGGGCCTTACCTTGCTGCACAAAGGAGCCGTACACGAACCACATGGAGTTGTAAAGCGTGGTGGAGGACACAGCGCCCATGGGCAGACGCGGCGGGTTCAGCCAGTTGAGCAGGTACACCAGGAGACCCACCAGGAGCACGGTGCCAGCGATGCACGCCCACAGCGACAGGTCGAAAGGCGCCAGGCACGCAAACATGTCCACGGTGCGCTCAGCCTTCCGCAGCAGGACCCCCACTGAGTAGTCCAAGTAGCGGGTGGTGAAATCCACCACGCTCTCTCGCTCTGGCGTGATGGTGAGGGCAGAGAGGCCCACGTCGGCACGCTGTCAGGAGCAGAGGAAGAGGGGTTAGTTCATCTGGCTTAGATATCAACTGACTATAGATGAACAGTGTTAATCATCTAGCTCAATGAAGCCCTAGCTCATGAACAAAGTTATACACCGTCACTCACATTAGAAAGTAAACTCCCCTGACTCACCATTTTGGGCTGAACAAAACGTGATTAAACACTTTCTATGACCTGGTTTTTAACATTGTTGTTTTTTTGTTATCATTCCCTGCAAATCCAGATACAAGCTAAGCAGGGCAGGACCTGGCTTGTACTTTGATGGGAGACCTTTGGGTACAGCCCAATGCCAGGCGGAAGCAACATTAAAGTGCCAAACTGTTGTTGTGTCCTTAGATAAAACACTTCTCCCACATTGCCTGGAATGAGTCTGGTGTGTGTGTTTGAATGGTTGGTGGTCGGACAGGCCAATGACACATACTGGGTGCCCCTTGGCAGCTGTGCCTACAATAGTAGTTTCTCCCCACTGTGTATGGAGTGAAAGAATAATGAACGTGTAAATTTTCTTTGAGTGTCCAAAAAAGGGGCGACAGTGGCTCAGTTGGTAGAGCATTGGCCTTTGAGCCTGAAGGTTGAGGGTTCGAGCCCACCATAAGACCTACTTCACGACTCCCACTGATGACTGCTGTCGTTGTGTCCTTGGGCAAGACATTTAACCCCACTTTGCCTGAAGCTCCCACTGAAAGATCTCAGCTCCTGTGGACTCACCACCTGCAGGAGGATCAGTGAGGGGCTGGTGCTCTGTGTACTGGGTGCAGCTCTGACTGCCACCCCCCCGACCCAGAAATGGATTAAGGGGAAGAAAATGGATGGATGGATGGATGGATGTCCAAAAAAGCTTTACATAAAACTGTTGCATTATCATAGTTTTCTTAAGCCATAATATTTGACAAATGAGATGTCTTCATTCACTGGAGTAAACTGCAGCTTGCATTCTCTCTAACCACCAGCATATATTTGAGTTGTATATCTGAGTTTTGTTGGGCCTCTGCACCAAGTGAACTATTCATTATGCTATTCCTGACACCTCCCTCATTTGACTGTGTCTGTGAAAAGGTTTTCCAGTACTGATTTGATTCCTGCATTCAGTCCCGACTTACCCAACTCGCAGGAATCTATATTATGCATTTTCGGCTTGTTTGTTAACTCCTTGGCACAGTGCTGGAGCAGAGTGAAGTTTTGTTGAAAGCATACTGTGTGCGCGGCAGACTCCTTATACGCACACCTTTGCTCTAATTACAGAACCATTCGACAAAGACCACGGGGAGCTGCTAATAACGCACAGACTAGGTTGTTAATGAGACCTGCATTCGACTAGCACCAATGTAAAATGACAGTTTACAATATGCCTCGCCAATCATCTTCATTATGCCTTGAAGATAAAGATGAGAAGAGAAAAAAGCATAGGGCTGACTATTTGAATTCTCAAAATCTATGTTAATGAGCTTAAAATTAGATCACATTATAATTACACACAAAAATGACAAATTATCAAGAATAATATATAAAAAGGATTCATAAAATATGTTTTTCTTGCAAATGTTTGTGAGAACAAGTGGCCCTTTGAACAGCATACTGTATGTCTGTGACTGAGGGCTTACTCTTATAGTGAGCTTTGGTTTACTGGGGAACGATTGAACAGTCTGATCTAACACAAAACCTATGTGATGTTGGGACCAAGGAATAAAGGGATTTATGGATTTCAAAAAATATACATGTCATACTTTTTAATGTATTATTGTCTGTGCAGAATTACTATTACTATTGCAACAACACATCATGAGTAGGGTACAACTAACCTGTCTCACGACGGTCTAAACCCAGCTCACGTTCTCTATTGGTGGGTGTGTTTTTGAGAATGAGTTTATGTGTGTGTGTGTGTGTGTGTGTGTATGCATGTGTGTGTGCATGTGTGTCTGCGTGTGAAGATAAGCTTTAAGTTTAAAGTATGAATTCATAATGTTGAGGATATTATGGTGTTTATTATTTAGTTCAGTCTGTATTAATCATAGTAATACTTATTTCAAGGAAAGGATTTACAGATCTTCCACACAAACTCAACGTAAGTATAAGCGATACCATTACAGTTTAGCACTCTGTGGAGACGACGGTGGCTAATTAAAGGGTTTCCCCACACCGTTCGCACACCGTCTTGAGTCATACAGATAATGCAAATGTTTGTGAGAACAAGTGGCCCTTTGATAAGCACATGTCTGTGACTGAGGGGTTACTGATATAATGAGTTTTGGCTTACTGGGATATGATTGTAGGAGTTGGGTGATTTTCTGGGTGAACGGTAAGCCTACAGTAACGATGCTAAGCAATAATCAACACGGATTAAAGCAAAAAGGTAAGAAGAAATGTCATGAAAGATGTTAGTGAATGAAATACATGATGACAATGTGCAGAAATCTTTTGGAATTTGCTGTATTTAAAGTAATGATCATCCTAAGGAAATGAAAGCAAGTCAAAGCAATGCAGATGTCTGGTTGCCTTATGTGCAATAGGTGAATGGAAACAATTTCCTGGCATATGAATTATTTACTTAATTAATTATTTATTTATAGGGGGCGACAGTAGCTCAGTTGGTAGAGCATTGGCCTTAAGGCCAGAAGGTCGTGGGTTCAATTCCCACCTCTACACCTTCTCCATCGACTCCCACTGATGACTGCTGTCGTTGTGTCCTTGGGCAAGACACTTAACCCCACTTTGCCCAAAGCCCCCACTGAAAGATCAAGGCTATGCTCACACTCAGAGAGCAGCCGTCCTCCTGTGGACTCACCACCTGCAGAGGGTCAGTGAGGGGCTGGTGCTATGAGACTTGGGTGGCATCTCTGATTGCCACCCCCCTGACCCAGAAATGGATTAAAGGGTAGAAAATGGATGGATGGATGGATGAATTATTTACAAGGTACATCCCTATAATAGGCATACACCATGTACAGAGTTTACACATACAAATATACTCTTGCCCGGCCACCTCAGTGAGACACAGTATTAGCGGAATACAAATGTTGAATGCAGTCCACAGGAACATGGGGTCAGGGAGGTGAGGACTTTAAATCTACAAGGAAACAACTACACATAGATAATAACAAGTGCTTTAGAGGTGCTCAAAAAGCCCATTGACCTGGTGGAAGTGGACGATGTGTATTGTTCACCAAATGAAAGTCAAGAATGTGGGGGATGAGAGCAATGAGTACTGAACAATTTGTCTGAAATGATACAGATGTAGCATATTTGGATATTGTTTGACCAGTTACAGGTCAGTTCTGAGTGGAGGAAAACCTTCTCTCAAAAAGAATGCTTGATTTTCAATGTGTAATTAAAGCTGCTTAAGTACTTTTCACTCAAAGGAACAATATTTCCACAAGCAGGTGGCATGCAATTGTTCTGAAAAAGCGTACAGAAATGCTTTTTCAGGGTGAACCTGACTGAAGCTGCCTTTTAATGTTTGAGCTGTACCTTGTACTGTTCTACTGTTATTAATGGTACAAATTGCAGCCGTTGCTTTAGGGCGACTGTCATGTTTTAATAGTGCCAAGGAGCACACAGTTAAAGAGAACACAAAAAATAATTATACAATATTCAAGACAGTGGAAAAGATGTGGAGATACAATCTACTTTGGATTAATGTATCAATAATACTTTTGAAATGGGCAAACGCCTATAATACATCTTTTATTGATTGATTTGTAAATCAAACCAGAAAAATCAAACCAGACCCACTCTACTAGATCTTTGCATTCGAGTCCTCACCTTAAAAACCAGTTCTCCCATCAGGCCGTTCCAGTGGCCATCGGCTTGCAGACTTCCATACTTGTGGTCAGGAGCCACATAGATCTCGTACTTGAACCCGAGATAATTGGACAGGGCATCCAAGACGTCGATGGAGAAGCCTTGATACTTCTTCGGTTTCCCCAGCACATTCTCCGACACCATCACAAACGGCTCCTCCTACAGAGAAAAAAGGGAACAACATTGATCAGATAGTGTCACTAAAGCCAGTGAGCCACCAACCAATAAACCTGTCATTTTGAGCATTCTCTCAATTTCAAAAGCGCCCATTGGTGATGGAAAAAGTTCACGACATTGTAATGCTCCCATGCAGTTGATATGCTTTGACAATGTGATAGTGATATTAATCCTGCAGAACCATTGGAGAAGTGAACATTGTGAGGAAGATAAAACATAACACATAATTCCTTTGTAAACCACCTATATCACTTGTTGATGTTATATTTGTCTGACGTTTTACAAGCTTGAATAAACCTTTCCACAGAATCCACAATCCCCTTTGCAGCTGGAGCAGGACCAACCATTACAAACAATTCACCCACACTCAACACTCATCCAATACAATACAAACACATTCACCTCACAATGAAAATCTTTGTATGGTTAGATTAAATAGTTGAATAATTTAGTGGAATATACAATACAGACCAAAATGCATCAGAAAAATAATGTAAATCAGTTTTAAATCATTTTCAAGAATAATTTAACCGGTTTCTTTGTAGGACTATCGCCTCTCACCCATCTTCTATCATTCCTGTTTTCTTCTCTCAAACACAGAGCATGCATCAGTGCTGTGGCGGCCGTGTGAAAATATGATCCGTCACACCACAGACATGTGATTTGTCTTTGTCTTTTGGCGGCACAGCATATCATTTATTTGGAGTCTGTGTGGTTTATTGTGGGCACTGCTTGTCCTGCTTAATTCTGAACTATTTGTTACTGAGAATTATTCAACTTCCCTTTGGAAACTTTGGGCTTCCATAATGTTTATTGATTTGATTGTTTCATGAGCTTCTAAAGTAGGAGTTGGAATAGGATCCTACATTGAGCTAGGATATATGAATATTTACACCTTTACACCAAAAACTCTGTTTTATATGGTGGTTATATTGGATTGTATTGTTAAAACACCATACCATAGTTTCATAACGCACAGGTGCAAAGACATTATTCTGAGTGGGAGTTTTGATTGTGTTCTATTGTGAGCAGTGGAGATGCTGAACTTGTTGCTGTCGATATTACCATGCCAGAGAAAGGGCAGGCTCCCGTCGAGGGCAAATGACACCCCACCAGCTGACATTTAAGACAATTCATTAAAACCTGCAGTATTTCAACAACACACCACAGCACAAAATATCACTGCAATCCATACTTCCGCCAGAGTGAAGAACAAAATCCAATTGGACTACTGCATTCATTTCCCTGTAAACTTTGGCAATATTGTGTTGAGGACGAGTTCTTGCAAGTCCATCTGTCAGTCACTGGATTTGCATTGGAGGAGGAAATAAGTGGGGAAAAGGCCAAGTCAAACTAATACATTCATACACATACATGATTTGGAATGACACATGCAGATACTTTTGGCAAGGACTAAGTAATATGTACCTACATTTGGACTAATTCATTTTAGATTAGCTCTGATGACGATGTGAACTTATAGCACATCTGCCAAAAGCATGTGGTTCATTCACTTTGCGATATGAAAGCACAGTGCAAACATTGCCTCTTCAGAAAGGAAATAACATGAGAGCAACAGCTAATTTGCATGTATGTCTGAAATTCGAACTCTCAAAACCAAAATATATCTTTGACGTTTGCAATGAGAAAAGAAAATTTAATTCTATGAATGCTAAAAAGACTCACAGACTGTGTGACCGGTTTAGAAGCAGAGACAAAAAGAGTTAAAATATGTGTCCACATGAGCTCATGTACAGTCTAATATTGCTAATTCCCCTCATGCATGGCTAGTAAGTAAACTTTATTTTATATTGCTTTTTATAGACCCTGGTCACACGAAGAGCTTTATAAATGTGAAGTATTTTCTCATTGACTTCAAACATGGAAGAGAAACCAAGACCTTTATCTGGTACTACCCATCTTGGACAGAACTTTGAAGAATAAAAGGCATAGACTGTTTTTCTCCTGTGTGCTTCTACTTGATGAGAGATGGAGAACTGCAAAAAGATGCTCCTGCCTACTTTGTTTTTTTATGTTCAAGATGAATATAGTAAAGGATTTGTGCAAGCGAGGAATTAGTTAGCCAGATTCTTCTTTCACAGTTTCAATATTGTGCACTGTTGGGGGAAGTAAAGACATAAATGACAAACACTGTCATGGGACATCAACCACACTGCTGCCGATTCTACATGTTCTCACTACTTTCACTGACTTCTCTATCTCCTTCTTTTTCTTTTATCTTTCTCCCATCTTTTTGCTCTTCACTTTAATAAATCCCGATTGATGAGCGAAATGTTTTAGGCCAATATGTCTTGCAGATTAATGAGTGTGGCGTGTGTGTTATTGACTGGTCCGAGGGATGCGTATTAAGCACACATCAGAATCAGAATCAGAATCAGAATCATTTTTATTGCCAACGTAAGTAACGGGAGGTCACAGACTTGGAAATTGCTTTGGCTCAGTGCAACAGTCAAAAAGAGATAATAAAAATAAGAATAAAAAACACTTCTAAAGAATAAATTTAAATTTAAAATAGAGTTACAGTTACTATTTACAATATACAAGTGCACATGGTGCACACAATGTAAGGTGACAGCAGTACAGTGAAGTAAAGTGACGTATGATGGGCAGTAAAGTGACTTTATAAAGGGCGGGGGGACAGGTTAAGAAGTGTTCAAGAGTCCAACAGCAGAGGGGAAGAAACTGTTCTTGTGGCGGGAGGTTCTAGTCCTGATGGACCGCAGCCTCCTGCCTGAGGGGAGTGGTTGGAATAGTCCATGTGCAGGGTGAGAGGGGTCGGCTGTGATACGACCAGCCCGGCCTCGAGCTCGGGCGACGTACAGGTCCTGCAGCGATGGAAGGCTGCGGCCGATCACTTCCTCTGCAGAGCGCACAATGCGCTGTAGTCTCTGTTTGTCCCTGACTGTGGCTCCAGCGAACCACACGGTGATGGAGGAGGTGAGGATGGACTCGATGATGGCCGTGTAGAACTGCACCAACATCTGTGCAGGCAGCTTGGCTTTCCTGAGCTGCCGCAGGAAGTACATCCTCTGCTGGGCCTTCTTGATGAGGGAGCTGATGGTCGGCTCCCACTTGAGGTCCTGGGTGATGGTGGTGCCCAGGAAACGGAAGGACTCCACAGAGGTGATGGGGGAGTCCATCACGGAGGGTGGGGGCGGGGGGACAGTGCTCTTCCTGAAGTCCACAATCATCTCCACTGTCTTCTGGGCGTTCAGCTCCAGGTTGTTACCACTGCACCAGGACACCAGCCGGTCCACCTCCCTCCTGTAGGCGGACTCATCGTTGTTGGAGATGAGTCCAATGAGGGTGGTGTCGTCCGCGAACTTGATCAGCTTCACGGAGTCGTGGCTGGAGGTGCAGTGGTTGGTGTACAGGGAGAAGAGCAGGGGAGAAAGAACACAGCCCTGTGGGGCTCCTGTATTTATAATCCGAGAGTCCGAGACATTCTTCCCCAGACGCACTCGCTGCTTCCTGTCCGTCAGGAAGTCAGTGATCCACCTGCAGGTGGAATCGGGCACGTTGAGCTGGGAGAGCTTGTCCTGGAGCAGGGATGGCAGGATTGTGTTGAAGGCAGAGCTGAAGTCCACGAACAGGACCCTGGCGTAGGTCCCCGGGGAGTCCAGGTGCTGTAGGATGTGGTGGAGGGCCAGGTTAATGGCGTCGTCTACAGATCTGTTGGCTCTGTAGGCGAACTGCAGGGGGTCCAGGAGGGGGGAGGTGAGGGACTTGAGATGGGAGAGAACCAGGCGTTCAAATGACTTCATGACGACAGACGTAAGTGCTACAGGTCTGTAGTCATTGAGTCCTGTGATCCTGGGCTTCTTCGGGACGGGGACAATGATGGAGGATTTGAAGCAGGCCGGGACATGGCAGGACTGCAGAGAGGTGTTGAAAATGTCCGTGAACACAGGAGTAAGCTCACTGGCGCAGTGTCTCAGAGTGGCCGGAGACACGTGGTCCGGGCCAGGAGCTTTGCGGGGGTGCAGCCTCAGGAAGAGTTGTTTAATCTCTTTAGCGGCTATTGTTAGGCTGGGGGCAGGGCTGATGGGTGGGTCGTTAGAGTAGTGGGGGGTGGGGGAGGGAGAGGTGTCAGGGGCAGCATCAAAGCGACTGAAAAATAAGTTCAGATCGTCAGCTAGCTTGTGGTCATCAGCACAGGGGGGGGCTTTGGGTTTGTAGTTGGTGATCTCCCGTAGGCCCCTCCAGACAGAAGCAGTATCGTTGTTACCAAACTGCTCCTGTAGTCGTTCTCTGTGCCGGGACTTGGCTGCTTTCAGTTCTTTCCTGAACTGATATTTAGCTGCTTTGTAGCCGCTGCGGTCCCCCTCCCTGAAAGCAGACTCCTTTGCTTTCCTGAGCTGCCGGAGTTTAGCAGTGAACCAGGGTTTGTCGTTGTTATAGATGACCCTGGTCCTTGTTGGAATGATGCTATCCTCACAGAAGTGGATGTATGACGTCACAGTGTCCGTATATTCATCCAAGCTGTCTGTGGCAGCTCTGAAAAGGTCCCAGTCTGTAGATTCCATGCATGCGCGTAGCTCTTCCACAGCTTCATCAGACCACACTTTGGAGCTCCTCACTGCAGGTTTCGAGAGCTTTAGTCTCTGTCTGTAAGCAGGAACCAGATGTATCATGGAGTGATCTGAGAAGCCGAGGGCTGGCTTGGGAACAGCGCGAAAAGCTCCGCGCACGGTGGTGTAACAGTGATCCAGAGTGTTCTCCTCTCTGGTCGGGCATTTGATAAACTGTCTGTATTTGGGTAATTCCTGGCTCAAGTTTCCCTTATTAAAATCCCCCAGGATAATAATCAGAGAGTCCGGGTATAAGCGTTCCATACACAGTACTTGCTCTGCGAGTGCGCGCTGAGCCTCGCGCGCGTCCGCGCATGGCGGTATGTAAACAGAGGCAAGAATGAATGAAACAATTTCCCGCGGGGAGTAATATGGTTTACAATGAATGAAAAGATATTCCAGAGCAGGAGAGCAGTGCTTGGAGATCACTGTCACATCGTTACACCAGTTTGTATTGACGTAGAAACAGAGCCCTCCGCCTCTGCTCTTCCCTGAGAGCGCACAATGGCGATCCGCGCGAAACAGCCCAAAGCCCTGCAGCTCCAGAGCGCAGTCCGGGATCCGCTCATTTAGCCAGGTCTCAGTGAAGCAGAGGACACAGGATGTGGCGAAGTCCTTGTTTCTTCTCATGAGCAGGCTGAGTTCGTCCATCTTATTGCCCAGTGAGCGTACGTTGGAGAGAAAAATGCCGGGGAGAGCCGTGCGCGCTCCTCTCCTCCTAAGACGCACGAGCAGGCCTCCTCGCTTTCCCCTTTTACGGGCCCACACTTTTTTGGCTAGAACATGAACTAAATCAGCCGCAGATGCCAAGAAAACAGGCAATAGGTCCATGGGAACGGTGGGTCGGATGTTCATAAGTTCCTCACGGGTGTAGGAACAGCCAGATGCACAGTTAAAAAGTAAAAACAAAAGAAAAAGAGAGCAGCAAAGAGCCATGTCGACCGTACGAGGCGCCATCTTGAATCAATGGCGCACAGACATGCAGCTCATTGACCCTGTGTGCATTAGCTACAGCGTTTTCTAATCCACACTAGCTGCTGCCGCTCAATAAGCTATTAGGCAGTGGCTGGACACGCATGCCAAGTTTTTCCCTAACCAGAAGGATCCATCAATCAAATGCGTAACACACTTATAATTGTCCACATTATAACCCATGTTATAATGTGGACAAGACTTGATATTGGTCTGGTATGCTGATAGCACATGTAGACAATTGGTGAAAATGGAATCCTGTCTGATTAGAGGACAAACAAATGGCTGGACCCTTTGTGAAGGGCCCAAACTACAGGCTTTAGCCCTGTAGTTTGGGCCAAATAGTCAAAATCATGCTTACATTTTTCATAGAAAATAAAAAAGGTTATAGCTGGGCAATGGGGGGTGACCACGTAAATCGGGTTTATAATTTTTCCCTGTCACAGCTGAGGCAAATAACACTAGAATGAGATTTAAGGGCCTGTAAAAAAAAAATGCTCCAGTCAGTCATGTACATGAATAATAATATAAAATGTATTTAATTTTGTACATTTTTGCAAATCTTTAGACGCATTGTATTTAAGTTTGAAATAAAGAAAAACTAACCCAGGTTCATCCAAGAATGTTGGATTTTACATTTCCAATAATTAGATGCATACATTTGTCAATTGGCTGACAAAAAATATAAAAATGAGTGAAATCCAGTTATTTACAAAGACATTGGTGTCTTGAAAATACAATGTATCTTCCATGAATAATGGTATAATCTGGATATCTGCAGTAAAGTGTTAAATTGCTAATCCTATGCCCCATGAAAACAAATTCTAGTATTGTACATTTAAAACTTGTGGAGACCACAAAGGTCAACACTGGGACCAACTTTGTTGATAGTGTGTATTCATGAAACAGCAGCATTTCATGATTAATTAAATGCATGAATTCAATTATCTTTATTCACAAAACACTAAACTAATTCCTCTGGTGTTTAAGTGTTTTATAAAGGGAACTCTCAGGAACACAAACTTAATGTGTTGGTGATGACTACTTTTGTCCAAATTAACAGGTAAAAACTTCATGTACAAATTTCAATATTCATAAATAATCACTAATTCTAATTAAAAAAATATTGCAAATAGATTGCAAAAATAACTTGAAGACTTGAATTACCTCCCAAACGTGGCCATAAGGATTGTAACTAAAATTTACTGTAGACTGAAACTGAAACTGCAGGGCATGATTATATTTGAAAGTGCCCAAACAATGTTTAGGGAAAACTCTAAATTACTAACTGAAAATAATTACTGACTACTTTTATGTGCCTCAATTCAGAACTACTCTAAGTGTGTATCTTAGTGCTAGGAGTTACTCTGTGTAACTGATTATCAGATGACTGATTTTAAAAATAAGTACTGATAAAATACAAGAAAGAGAGAGACTGATGATCTGTACACTACCTGGAACATTTCGCACACATTGCATTGGCTGTGTTTGGCCTTTTGCCCACATCACATCTTTTAATCGAGTATGTATTTACTTTACAAAATGATCATAACATATGATCAAACTTTCTCAGTTCAACATGATTTTGTGTTTTCCCCGTTTATAATCCTTTAATGCATACTATTCCAGTGGGCTGTGTAGGTAAAGGGCAGATGGTCAAGCTCAGAATCCTTACCAAACCAGGCAGCCAAACCAAATCAATATAGACATAATTAAATGTGCAGCTCAGTGCTGGGGTCCAGTCAGAGGAAGAAATGCAATGAATTAAAGTATTGGCTAAAACACACTGTTAGAAAGACAGCAAATACAGGCCAATAATAGATGCTTGTGGTGTGGTAGTTTAATGCTATTGTGGTGGTATAATTGCAATTTTACAATACTGGACCATGAATGAATGAAATAAATGAATAAGGTAAGCGTCATTAAATGACCCTCACTCTCTCCATTCGACTGTCTGTCTTGTTAATGACATTTAGCCTTAAAATTGTCCCTTTTGAACAGCTGCAATGTCCAAAAAGGACCTTTATCAAGATATAACATTATCCATAAATGACACACAGAACACATTGGGATAATGCCTCTCAGCTGGCCTAAGAAACCCCCTGGGTTCCCCTTGATTAGCTGGAGGAAGTGTGCGTAGGGATAGGGATAGTATTTACTTATTGTATTAAATAGAATTACGATTTATTTTGCAGCAAAAAGTTAAAACTATGTAAATGCACACAAGCTAAAAAAAGACATGCTTTACTTGCTACTTTTTTATTTTCAGCCGCAACATTTCAGCTCCTTCTGCTGCCGCTGTGTCCTTGGGCAAGACACTTTGCCTGAAGCCCCCACTGCACAGCCTTGGTCCGTATGTTATAGAAGAAATAAACACACACACATATATACATATACATATATATATATATATATATATATATATATATATATATATATATATATATATATATATATATATATATATATACAGTGATGGGAATAACGGCGTTACTAACGCCGTTACTTTTTTCAGTAACGAGTAATCTAACTAATTACTTTGACAGTAACTATAACGCCGTTATCATTTCCGACATCCCGTTACTGCGCGTTACTCAAGACGCACAATGAACGTGTTGTCATGAGAGAAGGGAGGATGAGAAAACCTCTCAGCAATTATTGGTTGATGTAAATCATATTTCCTTTACAATCTACATGTCTACAGTTGAGAGGATGACTCATAAATTGTGTTTTTGAAACAAATATGGGTCTTAATCGCGCTCAACCACGGTTGTATCACCGTGAGGTCAGCCACAGAGGAGCGCA